AAAAATAAGAACCAAGAGAGTATGTAAAGGTGCAAATTTCCAATGATGAATGTCATTATATTGTACACCTAAAATGTACCAATAAAAGGATATACAAAAAATTAAATTAAATTAAATTTTAAAATAAAAATTAAAAAAAAATAAGTAAGCAAGAAGACAATTTAATAAGGTCAGAAAAGTTTTGAATAATACAATTACTAATAAGCTTTCTATAATAAGCATATATACAACTGTGCATCCAACAATTAATACATACATTTTTAGGCAAATAGAAAATATTTGTTAAAATTGATTGTGTATTAGATCAAAAGAGAAAGTCTTAAAAAATACCAAAGAATAAATGTCACAGAGACCACATTTTCTACCAACATGCAATAAAACTAGAGACCAACCTCCAACATCAAAACGTTTGAAAACCTATATGTTGAGCAAATTTTAGCATACTAAATAATTTATAACTCAAAATAGAAACAATACTTGAAACATTCTTAAAATTTTAAAATTCCTATTTCATATAAATTATACAAGAGGTTTTTTTTTTAAAGGAAAATATGCAATTCATACTACAAGGCTAGTGTAACTTTACTTCAAAATGGAACAGGAAGTGTATACTAAAGGAAATTCAGAGGTCCTCCTCATTTGCAAACTCATATAAAAGTCTATATTAAATGTTAGCAAAACTTCAGCAAAAAAAAATTTTGCAAAAAGAAATTAGAAAAAAAAATTGATATGAGTTCGATGCCCGGTACCAAAAAAAAGAAGAAGAAAAAAGAAAAAAATTGATAGATCATTAGCAGGTAATTCATTCTAGTTTTGTTAAGATGATTTAACATTAAAACATCTATCAAAATAACTCACCATATTGAGACATCAATGGGTAGAAAACCAATGATAATTCATAAAGAAGACAAGATTAGATGTAATTCAACACCCTTGGTGATTTTAAAAATAATACTTTAAAACCTAAGCATTCTTTTATTTCCTTTTCTTTTTTGTCCTTCATTTCATTTTATCCTAAGTATTATTTAGTAATATTTAATTTCAAAATGCCTGGGATTTTTTAACTATTATTGTAACATTAACTTCTAATTTTATTGCATTTCATCAGAAAATGTAGGCTATATGGTATGATGCATTGTAATTATTATTCCTTATTATAATTCCTTTGTGTCATGACATAGAATATTTTTGAAAATGGTAGAAAAATAACAAATATTCTTCATTTGGTGTGCAGTTTCAGAGTTTCAAAGGAAAGCATGTTAAAATATCTAATTTGAGAATTTTTTTATCCTCAGCTGTGTAACTTGTTGCTTGATACACTTGCAGTTTACAAGGCTAGGGACACACATGTTGAAATGTTAGGTACATTCATGTTTATCAGGCTGTTATTTTTCTATTATCTTGCTGTGTTTTCCAATGTAAAACATACCCCATTTCAACAGTATAATGCTTTCTACATAAATAAATACTTTCTCAGACTATAAAATGCAATTTTTTCATTAAAAGATATAAACTCTAACAGTATCTGGTACACAATATGTAATTTGTGAGTAAGTGAGCAAATGAATAAAATATCATTACTATGCATAAAAATTGCCCTATCACCAATATGTTAACTTGTACTTGTAAATTCAATTTAGCCAATAATTATTAAGTGCTCACTATTTGCTAAGCAATGTTACATGGTAATACAAAGAGTTGAATATTTATTTAGATACCTATAATCTAATTTAAATGCTATATAATCTACTACAAATGAGATACACACATTAATATAAACATACACATAGTGAACTGCTCAAAGTCAGGTAAAGCCCCCATGTGAAATCCCATGGTGTCCCTCTGGACAGTCTCAGATGACAGCTCTGAGCCTCCATCTCCCTATAAGAACTATATTAAAAAAAATTTTATTTATATCAAGATAACACTTGATTTTAGAAATCTTGTAATATATGGACCCTGGGACTAAAATAACAGATTTCTTCAGTTGTTTGCATACTTTTTATTCCTAGCTTTCATTAAAGATGCTTATATTTGATATAAAAATAATGATAATTGCCCACTTTTACATTTGTTTTATTTTTAAATATTGGTGCATACATTTAGTGGGAATTTTTTCATTAAAGTATCACTTAAGACCTACTAGTTTAAAGACTAGGTCTTATGCCGATATAAATTTATTTAGAGAATAGTGCAATGTTTGAGTATCTTTTGATTTCTTGATACTTATTTCAGGACTCTCAACATGCCTCGGGATCCTTGAACTGCCCTGGGCTTCAGCAATTCATCTCATCTTACTCCATATGGAAGCCATTTCTGCAAGGCAGCCTTGCCAACCCTGCTCAGGGCAGCCTTGCTGCTGCTTCTCTTTGTGCAACAGGAAACACCAGCAAGATGAGCAGGGAGCCAGGTTTTCAGTTATCTTTGTGTCTGCACAGGAAAACTCCCAGCAGATGAACTGTGCCTGACCCTCCGAGGGGTGAGGCCAAGCACCAAGCACAATGCAAACAGCAGATGTGGGGTCTGAGAAATCCAAGTCAAGTTCCCGGGCTAACTGAGGTCAAAAGTGACCTCCAGTTGTTCCGGGAAGATTTTTAGTTTTGCATTGTTGTCCTTGGGATTTATTTCTGGCAACAATATGTGAAGCATTAAAACACTGCTTTGCTCGTGGCTGCACAGTACAGAGAACAGCCAATATCTGTGTCTGAGCTCCTATTTGTTCTCGAGACCCTCTGGCTTCTACTCTCGTATCCCCAGAGGTCCACCCACTCTGGTTGCTGACTTTGTGAGAAAGTTCATATGGCATCATCGCCAAGGATGCAAAGGAACCCATGGAACCCATTCCAACAAACACAACACAGCTGCTTGGAAAAGGGAAACAAGAAAAAATTTCCTACCTTTCAGCTGTTGAATAAATGTTCTATGAATGCACAAAATTTGCCTATATACAGAAGCGAGAAACTTTGGGAGAGCTATATTCTTTTTTCATGAATTAACATTTTGTGTGCTACTTATAGATATTATCTTCTTTTTTTTCTTTTCAACCTAAAAGTTAGGCTTTGTTTTAAACTATTTGGCATAGATGAAAGACTGGTTTTGACGGACTAGAAAACACTGAAATGAAACACTTCTTAATAAACATAAATTATTTGTGTTAATGGGAAGTAATGAATTAAATTAATTCTGCCCTTTGTCCATCTTTCATATATTCTTTTTTTCTTTCCATTGAACTTCTTATATCCATAACCTGCCAATGTTAGGAGTCAGTTTCTCTATGCAACCACATATGACATACACTTTGTCCACTCCGGTAAACAAAGCTCAAAAAATCCACATATAAAGCCAGGCATGCTGGCACATGGCTGTAACCCCAGCACTTGGAAAGCTGAGGCAGGAGGATTGCTTTGAGTTCAAGGCTCCCCTGTGCTACATCGTGAATTCAAGGCCAGTGTGAATTACATAGCAAAATTCCATCACAAAACAAAACAAACAAACAAAAATCTACATATAAAGAAAAACAAATAGAAGGAGAATTTATATTCTAAACACAGTAATGGAGCCTTTTAATTTTACCCTCCTGGAGGAATTCTTGCTCTTCGAAAGCTTTCACTAAGGTTTTTCTTAAAGAAAGACTGTACATCATAATTTAATCTGGAAACTTTTCAGGAATATTGTTATTTCATATAAAAGGATGATTATTTAATTTAACAGTTTTCTACATAATCCAAAGGTAGAAAAAATGAGTGAAATGGCATTTTCCCTTATTTGAGCATAGTATATTTACCATATTTAGTATTTCTAATTACAGTCAGTCATTACCTATCTTTAGAAAATACCAAATGTATAGTTGAATTAAAGGAGAGGAATATTTTTCATTAAAGTTGTGTAACTGCTGTAATAGATTGTTGAGGCCAACTTCATCTAGCTTTTATGGGGTTCAAGCACTGTACTATCCAGAGTTATACTACTAATTAGAAATAACAATAGCAGCTACTTTCATGGAATATTTACTAAACACAAGCACAGTGCCAGCTAGTTCCTTACATGCTCTTATTACCTGCTCTTACATGTTCTTACATATCTAACAATATCTTAATACAAAAGGAGGTCCCACGAGAGTGGGACCCTGGCTCTTTTCCACTCATTAGGGCCATCAGAGAACTGGGGGTGCGTGGAAGAGAGAGAGATGTGGGCATAATTCAGCAAGCAACAGAAGCTGTTCTGTATTTTAAAGATGAGTAAGATCCAGAGGTTAACCTCAGAAGAGCTCGCAGTGTGGTGGAGAAACAAAATAAACAAATGTTCACTTTGGATTTTCATCCACACTGACCCCATGTCCCAGCCCATGTCCATTTCACCTGCCATTCTACTGCTGTCTCAAAACGGAACACAACAAATAAAATCACATCTAAAAGGTAGAACAGATAATGTGAATAGGAAGAAAAGGGGCAAAGGGGAAGGGGAAGTGGGAGGGGTAGGGGCAAGGAAAGAAGGGAACGGAATTAATATGAGAAAATGAAAAAATGAAAACAAAGCCTTTGTAAATAGGGAGGGATGGAGGGGTTGAAGGGAGGGCAGGGGAAGGGGGAAAAATAAGAACCAAGACATACCATGTAAAGGTACAAATCCCCAATGACGAATGTCATCATATTGTATACCTAAAATGTACCAATAAAATTCAGTTTTAGAAAATCACATCTTGTTCCCTTCAGTTTATCTTCCCCTCCTTCCCTTCCCCTCCCTTCCTGTGATCCCTTTCTTACTCCCACTCATGCAGTTCCTACCGAAGTCTAAGAAAGTATCCCAGTGAAAGCTTTCATTCTGTCAACAAAACAGAGGTTTCTTTCAAAATTCCATAATGGCAGGGAAGAAATGATATAAGCTTATGAGAAAAACAAAAAACACAGAGAACGATAAATCAGAAGAACGAGAGTCCTGGGCAAGGACACAAAGATTCAGATACTGATTATAAAACAGTTTAAGTAAACACCAAAGGGCAGGGCTGAAATAAACCCCGGGTCAGCCCAACCCCACCTCACTGCATTTTTCCCCATCATAATTCAATCAGGGAGAAATTGGTAGTGGAAGCAACTTCTTATTTCATGCCCTGTTCACTTCTCAGCTTCATCAGCCAAGGCATGCCTTGCACTATACTCTCCCTAACATTAACGTGGAAAAGTTTCCTTTGTGTTCTCTCTCAACTTCCTTTTTACAGTTTCATTTCATCGCTTAGCCTGCAATAGCTAGATGATGAAACCAAAGAGAGGGTTGCAGAGTTTCAGATCTCCTCCACAAGGAGGTTTTTCTCTCACTGACCAAACCCTGGCTAGAAAGATTGCTTTTCTTGTTCCCAGGACTTCAAAGCATCTCGACATCCAACTTAAATGAATGAAGTTATTTGTCTACAACGGGGAAGTCACGGCAGACAGGGCCTGCTGGCGGGAGAAGATCTGAATGGGACTTTTGCAGGGCATCTCGTTAGTGGTTTGCAGGCCTAGGTGTGGACGTCCAGAGCCAGTCAGCCTGGAAGGACCACTTGGAGAAAGAAGTGCATTTAGAACAGAGTGTTCCTTCAAACGCTGGCTTATATAATAATTTCTCTATCTTGTTTATCCATTCCAGGGATGAAATCATTTAGGAACACAAATCTACAGGGGTCTATTCCAACTCTTTTGTTTAAACACATGAACAACTCACTCAATACCTACACAGTCACGGAGCGATGCTGATGTTAGATTCCACTTTTGTCTTTTGTTCTCATTGGATGAGTGGCCACTGATTCAGTCCCTCCTGCTCTTTGCTTTTTGTTTTTTGATTTCTCCTCAGCTTTGGTTATCACTAGCCATGTAGGCCCCAAACACTGGGGGAGAGAAGGGCAGAAGGAACACTAAGCCAATGGGAGTGTGTGTTCTATGGTGTTACATGCCCGTCATTTAACTTGGAGCTTGACGGGTACTGTCTTATTTAATTAATCCAATAGTCTCCTAAATTGATTTTTGCAATACCTAATTATGTCTGGGGATGCAGCTCAGCAGGAGAGGGCTTGCCTAAGTGTGCACTAGGACCTGAGTTTGATACGCAGAGCCAGGGTGGGAAAAGTATCCCTCCCAATTGTACCACTGAGAAATATGAGGCTCAAGAATATAACTTGTTCAACATCACACAAATTGTAGGTGGTGGAGCAAAAATTCAACTTTGGACTTTCTTATTCCACAAACCACTTCCTATTCACCTTTCACAGAGCCTGTCTTCGGAGTCCAAACCAGCTTAACCAAAAGTACGCAGAGAATGCCAAGATGGAGTGAAGCTGGGGGATACTCACTCTCCTAATTTACTTTTTATTTTTGTTTGCAAGAGCAATCAAAGAATAGCTGAAATGAATTCAGGCTGGAGGACAAAAAGAATTTGATAGATCTGATTGGGCCAGCCACAAGATTTTCTTCCAGTTAATCTATTAGCTAAAGATAAAACTCGCTTTAAGGAAAATTAAAATTTTTATTTAAAGAACTACCCTTGGGTGAGATATAAGTTCCACTGAGATATATACCTATGTGTGAAGGATTCCAAAGAAGGATGTAATTTCATTTCTCATCTTTTTTTCCCCCTGGTACCGGGTATTGAACTCAGGACCTTGCACTTGCCAGGCAGGTGCAGCGTCACTGAGCTACATCCCTGTCCCCATTCTTCATCTTCAAAGTCACCAACTCTTTTAACTTCTTTTAATAATCAGTGTTTTCCCAGGGGCCGGGGATGTAGCTCAGGGGCACCACACCTGCCTCACAAGTACAAGGTCCTAAGTTCGATCCTTGTTACCAAAAATAAATAAATAAAACAAAATAGTAATGTTTTCCCGTTATTGTATTTTCTCAAATTTCCTTCAAGCACTCACTTGTTTAAAGTATTATTTCTACCTTCCCTAGAAGAACTTCTCACAACTTGCGTCTGTGATCTCGAGTTCTTGGGTGCTAGGATCTGCGGGCAGAGCGCTCCTCCTCTCCCTTTCCTTCCTGGTTCACAAGTGACCAACACACTCCGACTCACTCACACAGACCTCACACACACTTTTCCTGTCTCGCTCCTTACCTAACCCACCTTTAAGATTGCTGCTCCTACCAGTCGCCAATATCTCTCCCAATTCCTACAGTTTACTTGGCTCCATTCCTTGGCATGGTGAATTGTTTGAGTATAGGAAGGCAAATTTTTATCTCAGTGAATCTGAATAATGAGACTACAAGGAAGTGGCAAAATGTGGGATGACAAGCAAACAGATGTAAAAGGTATCTTCCTATCCCACTGAGACCAGGTACCATAGGGGAAATTCCCCAGCCTTCATCTTTAGCACATCTCATCCAGAAAAATGGCAGCTAGCATCTTATGAGTAAACAGCCTTTCCTAACTCCATCTCTAGCCAATACTGCAGACATAGAACCTACTCTCTACTTTGCCTTGAGTTGAAGGGGCATTTTGTAAATGAAGCCCAGATTTCCATTTTTACTTGAGGTCTCCGTAATTGCAGAAATTGACTTTATAGGCACCGAGAGACAGCATTCTTAATATACCAGTCCAGAATGAGTGTGAAATGACAGTCAGCAACCATGAGTTCATAGGCTGGGAGGAAGCTTGGTAATTCCTGAAGTGAGCTGAAAGGTTTTTGGAAAGCAACATATTTGAGCTGGAGCACATTTTGGAAGACAGCGTAGTGTACAGAATACTGAATAGAAAAATGGGGGACTCAGGGTGCCAGATTCAACCTTTTCTCTGTTATTATAAGTCATTTAACTTTCTGGGCTTAACTGGCAATATGTAAGTAAATCTTTGGTTTCTATTGTCCTGTTTTAAAGGATAGTGAAGAAATTATTATTTGAAATATGTGTATCTTTATAGAATGGGAAATTTAGTCCTGAAACTGGGGGCTCAAGGAGCCCTATGGACACAATAGCAGAATTACTTGGGCAGATGTCAAAACCTTGGGGCACCAATGTTACACCCATGCTCTTTGACATCAAACTTCCCTGTGTTTGAATCCTGCCTTCACCTTTTATATGCTCTGTTACTATGGATAAACTATTGAACCTGAGTCTCTATTTTCCCATATATAAGTTATAGGTACTTATACTCAGTTTATGGGATTTTTATAAGAAGCAAACAACACAATGGATAAAAGGTGATTATCAAAGAAAACAGAATATAGCAAGCACTTACACAATAATATTACTTGGTATTTGTATCATTCTTATTTGATATTTGCTATCTATGTGAGTAGGCTTCCCATCACTATAACAAAATACCTGAGATGATAAACTCATAAAGAGGAAAGGTCTGTTATGCCTCACAGTTTTGGAAGTGCCAGTCCCTAATAAGTTAGCCCTGTTGCTTTGGGCTCGTGGCAAGGCCATACTATTGTGGGAATACATGGTTGAGTGAAACCATTCATATCATAAGCCAGGAAACAAAGAGATAGAGGAATGGCAGGGTCCCACAGTCCTCTCCAAGGGCACAGCCCCAGTGACCTGAAGACTTGCCACTAGCTCCACCCTTACAGGCCCCACTCCTCCCAGTGGCACCACACTGAGGACCAAGCCTTTAGCACATGGGCCTTACTATGCACTATCCAAATATAGCACTATCTTTTTTAAAAGCTAAAGGTTTTAATGAGAAGGACAAGGGTGGATGAAATAACCTATGTAGGATGAAAAGAAAAATCACAGCTGTTCCCAACCAGGAGTTTCATTCCCTTAACTTTCCTCAAAATTTCTGTCCACGATTCCCTAGATGTTCATCTATGTCTGAGTTTGCCAAAGCTTTATTTTTACTTGGTTCAGCTAAGGCAAATTAAGAAAAGGAATGAGGCATTCTGCGCCTGGGACTCTATGTGAAATAAGAAATTGGATATATAGAATCGGTTCAAGTAGTTTTCCTTAAAAGAATATGCCAAGGAGGTCACTCTATGCCATGAAGTTGGCCAGGTTTCTGTCTCTCAATCCATCATCCTTTAATGTCCTAGAAAGTGACTTCTGATTTTATCTTCAGGGCTGCTGCTTCCTTGCTCTTTTCCCATTTGCCTTTTTCATTTGCTGGAAAGGGTACAAGTTTTGGTGCTCCCAGGAGAAAAATAATATGAACTCATAAAACCAACACTCAGTAAATAAAGCTGAATGTCATGGAATAGGAAAAAAAGACTGGAGCCAGGAAAAATCCTTAAAGAGACAAAATGCCTATCCATCTGAAAAAGGGGAAGAGCAAGGATAAGCAAGGACAGAGAGAAGAGGTAGAATTGGCAGAGAAATATATTAAAATTGTTCCTGTGCCATTATTTTAGTCACAGAAACACTATATAGAAGGGGGACGGCTAACTTTTTGGTATATCTTCCAGCAAATATACTTTTCTGAGAAATGCCTCCACACAGCAATTCCTAGCAGCCCTGCCAAGGTTCCCTTTTATGCATTCTGCCCCTGAATCCAGAATTGTCTGATCTTGGCCTCAGAGCTTTTCTCAGTGCCCTGGAAGCAGAGATGCTCCCAAGAGGCCACAGGAAAGGTCAGCCCAAAGAGAAAGCATATTGCTTGGTCTTCTCTAAAGCCGGTTGCCAGCCTAAACCAATTTTTAAATAAAAGGAGCCATAATTCAACCTGTATTCAAAGAGCACACAGAATGCATAAGAGTAGGACCCATATCTGTATTTTTCTCCATTATATTTCCAACCTGCAATTGTCACATAGTAGATGCTTGAAATGTTGGGTGGATGGATGGATGGATGGATGGACAACTAAAACCAATGGATAAGGCTACTTTTGACCTTGGCAAATGCAGTCATTTTCTCTTTTCCTCCTTAGAAAAAGTGTAATAAGGCCTTAAACACCTCCGTGACTTCATTGAGAACAATTCCTGTAAAATTGGAATAAC